AGAGAGAGAACGATGGAGAGAGAGAGAGAGAGAGAGAGAGAGAGAGAGAGAGAGAGAGAGAGAGAGAGAGAGAGAGAGAGAGAGAGAGAGGAGGGACGCACGGCAGAGTAGCAGCGTATTCAAACACACAAACTAATGATGTCATTTCATTGATAACTTCCCACGCGTTCGCAGGTGGTGAAGAATCACATACTAGACCGCATGATGTTGACGAGCTCACTCATGGAAGGCATCCAATACCACGTGCCAACGATGGAAGGAAACCTGCTGAATGTCACAGCCATCAGCAACGTCATCAGCATCAACAATGCTCTCCTCGACAAATCACAGAACAACATCGTCACCAAAAACGGCATCATTCACGTGATCGATAAAGTATTGATACCGAATCTCTAGACGTGACGCATATGCGAAGGATGCTTACGAAACTATTTAGCAAAGGATGGGTGTCTAACAAGTGGCTCGTCTCGCAAGTGATGCAAAAGATTTGTTAATTATTATTAAAACTAGTTATATCCAATTCTTAAAGTAGTTATAATAGCATTAACAAATATTAATATGACGTAACTCGTGCGTTTTATTAGGAGAGATGTAAATAAAGTCCAGGAGAGCTCATATTATTTGTCCATGTCCGTCTCAATAAATTCAAATATCCACTCAATAATTACACAAATGTTCTATTTTAAGTGATGTTCCAAATACACGATTTGTTTTTCTAATTTGTTCATTTGATCACCACATATATATATATATATATAAATATATATATATATAAGTATGTATATATATGCTATAAGATATACTAAGAATGTACAGATGATGAAGGTTTGTCGCACGTTGTCATTTTGTCGCTTTGACGAGGCAATGTGCGTAAGGAAATGTTTCAATGTTTTAACCAGTAAACGTTATTATATGTACATTTAAAACATTTTCCCTTAATAAATCGTGTAGCATATATTTGTGAGTCGTTTGTCACTTTATTATTAGCCTAGAATTTCCAAGAACTAAAGTTTTGTGTGTGTACATTTCCACCGGACACTCCCCGTGGTCACAAATAACGTCCGATCATATATGGTATACTTAAATGCGATGTACATACCAAGGAAAAGACACGCACACACACGTACACGCACTCACATACGCGCACACACACGTACACGCACGCACATACGCGCACACACACGTACACGCACTCACATACGCGCACACACACGTACACGCACGCACATACGCGCACACACACGCACGTACGCTCATAGGCACACGCCAAGACTGGTGTTCTCTCGCTTCTCTCTCTCTCTCTCTCTCTCTCTCTCTCTCTCTCTCTCTCTCT